GGCTTCTTCCCTTCCCTACTCCAGCCCCCACTGGATGACTGGAACCAGGAAACCTGACCCATTCAGGGTTAGGCTGACCGGCTAACTGGTTTACCATTCCCATCCCTGTTACCAATAGTGGAGTATTTACATTCTTCCCATTGGTTGGCTGTTAAATGGGGGAGATCTTGATAATGCTAATCATTTTGTAAGTTCTGACTGCAAGACTGATTGTGTACAAGACCCAGATCTGTGCGATTTTACTTCCCGGCCCAGTAGAAATACTTCTAGATAGAGCTGTGCAGGTTCTCTTGATTTTGAAGCAGTTGGGCCATATGTATCCAGGCATTCCTTGCCCTGTAGAGGTTATTTTATCTAGACATCTGGATCAACATGATTTCAGTTAATAAAAATCTCATTTTATGCATGGTCTGAAAGCAATGGAATGATGTCTGATTGAGTTCAGTAGACTTTCGATCGTGGCCTGGTTTCTTTGACGATTGTAGTACAGCTATGTCATGTGCCTGTATTTTATCCAGTGTATGTGAGAGAAAGCAATGTTTTACATATTTATACATTTATATATAATATATATCAGTCACAAAATAGAGCAATAACTGAAGTAAATTAATAATACTTCCTTTCATTTGGAAGAGGTATAGAAAAGCACCAGGCCAATACAGTACCATTAATCTATTCTCTTTTCTCCTTTCTCTCTTTACTTCTCTCTCTCCAATAGAAGTGGAACAAAAAGGTAATTAAATACCTTTCAAATTATATATATATATTACTTATTTATAGGCTAAGTTATATAACAGTTTAACGTTTTAGCTGAAATACCTTTGTCATTAATTCTCATTTTTTTGTTAAAGTTTTAGTTTCTCTGCTGCTCAACTTCACAAGATGATACAGTTTTTTCTGCTGAAAAGACGGATACAGTTTTCTTTCTTAATTTTCTAGTCCAAAGTGTAAATTAGTTTCCTCCTCCCACATCCAACAGAATCTGAAAAACATGAGTCCCATACATCTGAATCTGAAAAACAAAGTCTCATACATTACCTATTGTAAAATGGTGCCATGGCTACATTGGCTCCAATGCAGTTCCTTCAGTTTACAGTAACTGAGAATGTGGCATCAAATTTCTTACGTCAGTTTAATTTTTTTGCTGTTGAAAATAATGGGTTGACTTCTAAGCAAGTTGTAATTCAACTGCCTTGTATACTAGTCCCACGCTAACAGAAAAGTCTAATGGGACACTTTTGCCTGGCAAGTCACGTTTTAGGTCATCTTCATACTGCAAACGTACACACAAACATTGGCTGAATTGTGATACAGGAACTCCTCACTTAACATTGTTTCATTGTCACCTATTGCTTATCGATTCGAATGCATGCTCATGTAAATTGGTGTAATGCTTCCTTATAACGTCCTTTGGCTGCCTGCTTTTGTCCACCATTGGTGGGATTTTCTGGTAAAGCAGGCAGGTCTTACGGGGTTTGAAAGCACTATGGGCTGGCAGCTCCCATCAGCTCCCCTCAATTCCCTGGGAGGGATGCAGCTGGGCAGCTGAAGTTCAGCTGCTCCTCCCCGTACTGCCCTGCTGCTCCTGCCTCTGCCTTGGAATTGCTCCCAGGAGTCTCCTGCTTAATGCTGATGTCAGGAAGTCCCTCTTCCTTCCCCTCATCCAGCCCCCCACTCCACACCCCATTTCTGCGGGGAAGTGGTTGCAGCCACTCTAGTGCATCTATTGGGTTTTTTCCTTCCCTCCTGCCTCCCTCCATGCTGCCTCTACGGTGTGAGGTTACATGAGCAATAGAGCCCCACCATTGCTACTTCATCATTTAGTAGCAAGGCATTCCCAGGAAATGGTCCACTCCTCCGCCTCAGCCAAGCTGTACGATCAGCGCTGCTGGGTACTGTGGTAAATTGTTTGAAACGTATTCCGTCCAAGAGAATTTGCTCAGATCCTTCACTCAAATCATTTTGTTTTTCTTCGTTTAAATCATTGCTCTGTGGGGAATGGGTGAGGAGGTTGGAGAGAGGGCAACCTCGTCTCTCTTTCACTGCTGCAGCGTGGGGCCAGGCGAGGCACGGCTCTTCATGGCTTCTGCAGCAGCAGCGGGTAAAGCTGGGAGACGGGTGCATGTCCCTCAGCTGGGGACAGACAGACAGACTCCCCAAATATACAGAAGTTAGTTGAACCTTTCTCTACCCTTTCCCTCAGCCGCCCCAATCGGGTTATAGCTGCCCTGGCCCACGACTGTGGCCCCTTGCTGCCCCCTGTGGTCATTCTACAGTATAACCGTCCCTACTAGCAGACCCTTCTTTCTGTTTTATGAGAAATGTGCACGTTTCAGGCACATCCCATTACCCGGACACAATCACAGCCTGACCTTGCTTTAAGTTATGCATGAAGCTGCACACCACATTTGGTGTCCTAGCTCTTACTGTTTAGGAGGAGTCCTTGAACAAACAAGGACATGGATGGACAGACAAACAGACACTCAAATGCTCTCAAATATGTAATAGATATGAATATACTGTCTTTTGTCTGCTGGAAAAAAAATTCCTGGAATCTAATCCTGCGCGCGCGCGCGCACACACACACACACACACACACACACACACACACATCCTATACATTAATTCTTACAGATAAACTGGATCCACTTAACATCATTTTGCCTAAAATAATACTTTCCAGGAACATAATCCCAATGTTAAGTGAGGAGTTACTTTATGGGATGAGTCCTCTCCTACTCACACCGAGGTCAATGACAAAGCTGCAGTTGACCTTTCTGTGAGTTAGGCCGGCCCCTTGGTATTGTTTCCAAACGCATACTTCCAGCTCAGTCTGCATCAGCATATGGATCCCCCATGCCTGCCTCAGTTGCAGAATTAGGGCCTTTGGGTACACATGAAATTTACTTTCTCTCCCTCCATCGGTTTTTGATACTGTCATATCCTTTCACACTCCTGGCACGCCAACACGTGTATTTGCAGTATATTCTTTCCTTAATACGCATGCATGCCTTTAGTGCATGAGAGTTGATCTGGGTGTCCAAGGGAGAATATAAACTAGATTACACCTTTGTTTGTGTCACATGTTGCAATCATTTTATTGTTCACCATATCGTGCTCTGGGCGACACTGCATGTACCGCGCCATTGCAAATAGTTCTCCTTCAGTTGGAGATAAGATTTCAGTTTTTTTTTTAGTTGTCTTCTCCCAACCTCCATCCATGCAACATATCACTCTAAAAACCAGCTGATTCCTGTCCCATTTCCATTCTGAAGTCTGAGCAGCAAAGCATAGCTAGCCACGCCATTCCTGTGTGCTCCTCTCATATAACCGTAGAAGGTATATGTTTTTAAGTTTGAATACTACTGTGTTTAACAGGACATTTTTTAACTGATTAAAATCTAGACCTTGGGTTCCTCTCCAGCGAACTTTATTCTTTTCTTTCCTTTCTTCCTTCCTTGCTTCCTGTCTTTTCTTTCTCCTCTCAGTATTCATCCATTGTTCATTTTTAATTGTGTGGACTGCATGTTCTGTGTGTTGTGTAGTGGCTTCAAAAATCTTATTGCTAGTTATGGCCAACAGCAGGATATTTTTGTCTTCCTATTTGCTTTCAATGTTCCTTTCTGTTGCCGAGGGATTTGCCTCTGCTTTGCCATGGTACCTTTTAAATATTTCATTCCACCTGGGCTGTAAGGTTGGGATTTTTTTAAAAAATTCCATTTCCAGGGCAATCTTCAGTGGACTGTTCAAACTAAAGATGTGGAACAATCCCCCAGATATCTACCCCTTCACCTAGTAGGTATAGATGTACCGTAGTGTAGAATATAATCTGAAAATACAAACCTATATACCCGTAGGGAATACATATTCATTTCAGAGTTTACAAAGATGAATAGCCCAAGTAAGCACACCAGTAAAAAATAGTTTCCAAAGGTGGTTTAAAAAAATGAACTGATGTTGATTGAAAAGGCAGCAAAAATCAACATGGAGGAACATGTCCTCTTCTAGACACGCACACTGCCCGAGGTGCAGGAAATCTGCAGATAGACTACTTTTGTTGTGGGCTGATGCTATTCTGCTGCAGAACTGTAAACTATTAGGAGTTAATGCCAAGTCCATGGGGCGCTCATTAACTTTCTTTTTTGTGTTTAACTCTTTTCCCCTCCAACAGTTTTTCTTTGTCCTGGCCTCCTAAAAGGTGTGTACCAGAGTGAACATTTATTTGAATCAGACCATCAGTCTGGGGCCTGGTGCAAGGATCCTCTGCAGGCTTCAGACAAGATTTACTACATGCCCTGGACCCCGTACAGAACTGACACGCTGACGGAGTATTCTTCCAAGGATGATTTCATAGCTGGGAGACCAACAACCACCTATAAACTTCCTCACCGGGTAGATGGCACCGGATTTGTTGTGTATGACGGGGCTTTGTTCTTCAACAAGGAGCGAACCAGGAATATAGTCAAGTTTGACCTGAGGACAAGAATCAAAAGTGGGGAGGCTATTATCGCTAATGCCAACTACCATGACACCTCTCCATATCGGTGGGGAGGCAAATCTGACATAGACCTGGCGGTGGATGAGAATGGGCTATGGGTAATCTATGCAACAGAACAAAACAATGGCAAAATTGTCATTAGCCAGTTAAACCCTTACACCTTAAGGATTGAAGGGACGTGGGATACGGCCTATGACAAAAGGTCAGCATCCAACGCTTTCATGATCTGTGGGATTTTATACGTGGTGAAGTCTGTGTACGAAGATGACGACAATGAAGCCACAGGAAATAAGATAGACTATATTTACAACACTGACCAAAGCAAGGATAGTCTGGTGGATGTTCCCTTTCCAAACTCGTACCAGTACATCGCTGCTGTGGATTATAACCCCCGGGACAACCTCCTTTACGTATGGAACAACTATCACGTGGTGAAGTATTCTTTGGATTTCGGACCACTGGACAGCAGATCAGGTAAGTTTCAGTGTTAAGGTTTGCTTTTGGCTTTCTGTTATCTAGAACACAAAGCTGGTTGGTTGGTTTTTGCAAACAGGCTGTGAAGTGCAAATATATTTCTCTTTGATCGTGTGTGTGTGCATGACTTAAGGCCCTATACTTGTCACCGTTAATGCTTAGTTGCTTCAGGGACACGCTTTACCGTTTAAAGAACATTTTCTGTTAGCTTACTTTGAATATAAATGGAAATGGGAAAGAAATTTTACTGCTAAGCCTGAGCCAACCTCCACAAGTCCACATTCTTATTCAGATCATCAGAATCACCAGCGGAAATGCCTCTTCCATTGAATTTATTCTATCAATTGAATCCCCTCAGCTTTTTAGGACAGAACATTACTTATGTGAAACATGTTGCTCTCACTGTGTAAATACCAAGGGGTGGAGTCTTAGCTGATTCCAATCAGTGTAGCTTCAATAAAGTTGATGAGATGTTGCAGAATTACACGAGGAGAGAATCTGACCCCAATACATTCCTGCATATGCATGCGCACTCACACATTTTGTCTGTTGTCCTGTGTATTCATGATTAATTTCAGTGCAGGTAACATGATCCAGATTGTTTTTCGTGTGTTTTCCCCCCTTTGATCATTTGTGTTGCTGTTATATTAAAAATCAGTTTGAGCTGGTCATTTTTAAAAATCTTAATAGAAGGAAATTGTAATCCATTTCTAGGTAAAGACTCAACCCGAAAAGAAATCCATTTTCCAGTGGATTTCCATCAGACATCTTTACAGGAATTATATTTGCCTGATTTTTCATTAACTTAAATCAAGTGCTTCCTTGTTACATAAGGGTAAATCCAGAGTTACTCCATGATCAATGAACTTGGATCTAATTCACTAAATTGGGCAGGTGTCTTGATGATTTTCTTTTAGGGTTTGAAGTGTTTGTTTCTATACAGACGGTATGCAATAATGATATAAATTCAGTTTATCTGTGCTAGAGGCATCTGTCCTGAATGCTGAGCAGGTAAAAGGAAAGACATGGTTCATATAATTTTCAAAGTAAAATATTTATTAATGTGTTGTTTTTTTCTCCTAAAATCTCCCCACTTTGTGAAATATGATAACAAAAGAGAATAAGGGCCTATCTACATGAACATGTTAGTTGGAAGAAAGCTGGTACATGAATCAGTTTTGCACTAGACTGAGGCACACTCACTGTCTCTGTGGAGCCTGATAGCACACCTTGCACGTCAAAGCTTGGTAGACCAAAGGGCACTACAGAACTTTTAGTGCACCACACCAAGGTGCACATGTATGCTCAGGACTTGTCTCTGTAGCTTTGCAGTTCAGTACAGGCAGGTGAATAGCAGTGTGTACCAGTGCGCTATATTGCAATTCCCTGTTTATTGCAGGCCCACAATAAAAGGTTCCCAGTTCACATTAATGTAGTTCCCTTCCAAGAGATCTAAATGTACAATAAGAACTTAACAGTAGGAGAGTGTAAGATGTGCACTAGGACACGGAAGAGTTAGTGTTAGCCTGACCCATCCTTTACTCCATAGGCTGTGATTAGTGAACACAAAATCACATTTAGATAAAGAGCTTTTAAAGGAAATTGTCACTTTGAACATCTGGGAATAAGCAGAAGGGAAAATAAGTTCTGTCTGTACAGCAACATGCAGGGAAGAGAGGAGACACATGGGACAAAGGACCCCTGGTTGCCATTGTGGAAAAGAAGAGGGGAGAATTTGAGGGTATCAATCTAGGAAAGATTTCAGATGAGGAGAAAAAAATGAAAAATATTACTTCACACCACAAGTTAATGACGAACGCATACTTTTGGAGCAGTGGAGTGAAACGGAACAATATGTGAGTTGACAGTCATCCAAAAGGAGCAAAAATCAATTGCATTCTTTTCTTAGTGTAGTATATTTTATCCTATTTTTGACAAATCTTTTCAGTATACTTCAGCAGAGTCTCTGCTGTCCCTTTTCACACATTGGTCGTGGACAATAGTTGAATCTCTTACAAATAATAAATCTCACCTCAGTGAGAAATCAGGTGGTTGCAGGTTTGTCAACAAGTGATTTTTTTGTTCTTTTTTGAGTGCCAAAGTTAAAATTGAGAGCTGAGCAGTGGTTTGGGGCTTCTCCAACGGTGTGCTTAAAGTAGCCTTAATATAGAGGCTTTAGCCCTTCCCCCGCCCCAGCCAAAATAATCCTGTTCACAGTTGTTACAAAGCTTGGAATTTAACCCTCTTTGAATTACCTTTGTGAACAGGTAAAACTGAGCACTGATGCATATCCCCACCTCCTGCCCCTCACCAGGACATATAAGTAGCCGTGTGTGTGTGTGTGTGTGTGTGTGTGTGTGTGTGTGAGACTTCCCATTTTACAGAAAACATCTCACAAGACATCATCCTGGGATGTCACCGGTCACCAGGGCTGCATGGGACTTTCACAGTCACTGATCCTACAAATGATGCATTCTCAAATGCAGCATCACAAAGATAAATAAGTATTTTTTTTAAAGAGTAAACTTGCAAAATTCCCCATGCAGCCTCATTTGGGGGCGAGGGCATTGTTGTACCTCCCAATCCAACAGAATCACTCATTTCTGAGCTGGTAGGAGAACTGACATTTGTAAAATGACACAACGCACAATATATTTGGAAGTGGTGATGGATAAGGGAGAGAGAATCTTCACGCTGTAGACCAAGACTGTGATTGTTTCTTTCTCCCATGATTTAAGGCCCAATATACTGCACATTGACATCAATGGGAGTTTGTGACATTGACGTCTGTGGGTGTTGAATCAGTCCCTGAAAAGCATCACCTTTAACAGGGAACAGCACAATAGCTCAGGAAGTGGAGGACAATAATAGCTATAGCACTCTTCTGAGCAAAGAAGGAATATGCTCTCTTTTTAAGAAAAATACATGGATATCTTAATTTCCCACCCATTTTACAGGTGCCTGAGTTGTGCAGAGCATTTACAATTAATTGACGTCTTTAGTTCAAGAATACAATAGTTCAGTAGCCCATTCCTGTAGCGTTACAGTGTCAGATTCACAATATGTAAACAGCATGGGTTTAATTGGAAAATAAAGATTGTAAAATTGATGCGGACATCAAATTTTCTCTTAAAAATAGATCAGGAAGACGTGTAGAAACAAGGTGTTTGACAAACAGAAGTTGAGTGTAATAAGAACAGTGATTTGTGTCTCAAACTAAATAGCTAGTGGCATATTAGAAATCTAGTAAAAACAAAACTAACCACAAAAGCAGGCGGTTAAATCTTTGCTTTTTAAAGACAAGCATTCTTTCTACCTTCTCTCAAAACAATCTAGAAGAATAAGGCTTCTAATCACTTCAGTTTCTTCCCTTCGCCCCATTAATACTTCTGTGTGGATTTTAATTGAAAAGTGCATCTCCAAATGTAGCTTTTGTACACTCTGGAGAGCACTGCTGTAAAAAAAATGTTGTGTAAATGCAATTGCTGAAATTAAACAAAAGACCTTAGTTCTTTGCAGGGGATCAGAAGCTAGGGATCATGGGAAGTTACCGGCTTGGCCTCTGCAGTAGTTTAAAGAAGTAGACAAGGGGGCATGTTGAAATCTTAGATCTGTAACACAGTCAAGTGAAATCAATTGAACTGGAGACAGCTTTTTACAGAGTGAAACCGAATATTGATTTTTCTCAAAAACTGCTAATTAAATGCTGATTTTTAAGGCGTTGCCTTCTTTGTTATTTTACTGGGAGCTGGATTCAATTACTGTAAAGGAATTTGTTGAGGGAAGGTCTCCTTAGCATCCACAAAACTTGTGAAGCTGACTGTTAACCCATTTCTCCAGGAGGTGGTATTGGATAGAAGGCAGTAGTCTAGACCTCCTGCTCTTCAGTCTGTTGGGATCTTTGTCTTCACGGATGCCTGTGGGTGAATTGGTTCCGTCTTACATCTTCCGCTGGTTGGTTTTCATGCCTCTTGGCTGGAAGTAACATTGAGAAGGACTCTGTACTTCCACCAGCATTCTCCACAGCAGGTGCTCCAAGAGGTTCCAGTGCAGTAGCAGTGTGCCTGCTCTGCTGTATTGCTTATAACTCTCTGCATCTGAATCAAGTGGAGGAAGAAACAGGTGAGTTGTGCCCAAGATGTGAAAATCCTTTCCTATACCTTTTTATGATTCTAACTTTAATCCGAGCTGTTCGCTCTAATCACCCCATCCGGTGACCCTGCTGACATGTGTCATCTGAAGAAACCCACCTTGGTCTCCTGCTACACTTCTGGATTAAAAGCAGGGTGGTGTTTGGACAGTGATACCTGCTGATGGGGTGCTGCTTATCCTCCACAATAGCAGTCCTGTCCCTACCTCCCCACCTGGGGAGCGCAGAGAGGAGCAAAGGACCCCCTGCTTATTACATGGGGCCCTTTCCCCACTCTGGACCCCTTTAAGAGAGAGGTGCAGTCTGGCCTGTTAACGTTGGGGGCTGCAGATGTAAGTCAATGGTACTCAACCTGCCGGAGAGCCACAGAATTGATCTGTAAAGCCCTAACCCTTTCCAGAACAAAATGCTTGAATTATGAATAATTATCAGGATTCAAGGCCTTGCATCAGATTCCACTCTGATATTGCCATGGGAATCCAAAGCAGTCTCATTGGCTTCAGCAGAGTTATTCTGGATTTACACCAGTTTCACTGGGAGCAGCATTATTTCACCAGAGCAATCTGTTTATGAACATGTGCTCACCCTCTGGAGAGCAGTTTTCTTTTTGTATTTTTCACTGTAATTCATGCTAGGAGACACACATGCATGGCTCAGGGTCTAGTCTAAGGCTGTCCTCTTGGCACCGATGGATTTATGCCACTGGTGAAAGTGTGGAAAGTTGTTTCTCCTGTGTAGACCCTTGCAGGGAGAAATGTTAGGCTCTCAAGTGTTGAATCTGTGACAGAATCAGTCACAGAAGACCACTTGGGATTGTTCTCTGGGTTGCTCGTCATGCCACTGACACCTG